CGTCTAACAGACAAACTGTGGTAAAAGAAACACCTAAATCCATAACAGCTGTTCGACAGTCACTCAGAGACACATGATGTTTCTCGGGGGTCTGCCTCCGTATCACTGAGCGTGCCCAGTTTTTTGCTTATTAGGAAGAAAAACTTTGGTTTGCGGGTATAAGAGTTGCTGAATCTAGTGACAAAGTTTGCAATATGAGGTTTACTGAGACATGATTATTACTGCGGTGAGCAAGAAGGATGCCTGGCAGACAAGTAAGGATGAGAAGCATTCTAAGTATTTCGACATTTTAAAAAAGCCTGTAATTACCTTGAACAAAGAACCTCGGTGGAAGAGCTCGTGTCAGATTTTATAACTGTGACATAATCTGACAAAATCACAGCTTACACGAGTGATGTACAATGACTGTGCTGTGATTTCAGCTGTATTTACATGTAAAATGATCACTGACAGGGAAAATTAGAAGCTACAGACAGTCTCTTACTTTGCACAGCAGCAGCTCCCACATAGAGGCTGTGCATGAGAACAGAGAGGGAGAGCAATGGCTGCGAGAGCTGTGCTGCAGAGGAGTGCTGCAGATTCTTCACTACGTGCCTTTGAGAAGGAGAAAAACTTCCTAAAGGGGGATGAAAAGTTGCTCGTTCTAGATAACAAAGTTGCTGATTAGCAAAAAATGAGATAAACTGAAGCTTGATGAACACTACTCAAAGTACAAAATGTCACATGACCAAGCTGAGATTGAACATCCAGCTCGAATCTTACAGAAACAAATATTCAAGTGCCTGCCTAATATTCTGTATAGTTTGTTTCTGTTAGCCTGAAAGCATCAAGTCAGAATCCTGAAATGGATCAGTGCTGTGTTTGCCTGTAGTGTCTCAATATAAAGCTTTTCAAATTAGTGTAAAAAGCATTTAATCTGCTCTTTAGCGAAGCTGGAACCAGAGACTGGTTGCCAGTTCATTAAAAAGTCCTAAATAAGGCCGTAAGTATTTTATATTTCATGATCGATTGATTCCTGTAACCAGCTGTGAGCATTAATGTCATGGATTGTATTTTATTAAATTGCATAAATTTAATGCCTGGAACAGAAAGAAGCATCGGTGTCCTGGATGTTTGATTCATTTACTGGAGAAAACTTTAAAAAGTCAATTTTGTGTAAACTTCCCAGGTCTATATGACCATGCGTGCGACAGGTGACAGCCTATCAAAAGCCTCCTTTGCGCCTACATTTTGTTCCAGCCTCATCCTCTAGCTGTGGTTCGCTCCATGTTTGGCACTCGTTTGGTTTTCCAGGGAATGACCCAGTTATCATTCTTTATTAAAGCCTGAATATTATTCACATAATTAGTTGTTTAGACCTAGTTTTATTCCTCCCGAGGTCTTAAAATACATCAGTTTTCTTTTATTGCTGCAGAAACCATGTATTCATTTGCCATCAAAGCAGCTGCTGTTTTAATTTTCTATTTATTAACCAATTTGCTGTTTTAGGTGTAAAATATCAATAAAGGCTCAATATTCTTCCTCACTGAGTAAATTATAGCCTCCAGTTGTTACTATGATTCATCACCATCATTTGCAACTCCAGTCATGGCTCCAGTCATAGTTTCAGTGTCATTAATTACGCTCTTTGTTGTCAGTCGGCTTGCTTCGCCCGCTGAATCTCTCATGTAACAGAAAATGGCATCCCACTATATGACATAATTATCTTCATTCTGGTAGAAGGCACAGTATAATGGAAAACCTGATATATTCTGAGACACTCACACAGGCAGGTGGGTTTAGGCGCGTCCCACTTGCCCAGCTTAGTGCAATGGCTGATGTTTCTGCCCTCCAGGATGAAGCCGGCGTGGCAGCTGTAATGGAGCACGGTTCCTTCCACGGGGGGCCCGGGAGGCTTCGCCGTCACCCTGCCGTTCTCCAGAGACGTCCACACCCGCGGGCACAGCAGCACTGGAAACAAGAAGAGGGAGTTATGGAAAGGTAAATCCATAAATACACAAAGAAGGAGTTGCACAAATGTTGCTCAAAGGGAGATGAATTCATTGTCTGCATGACCGGGTGCCTCCAAGTCCAGTTTTAACCCTCAGCTCCATTTCTCTGTCTACCAGCTCCCGGGGAAACGCTCGGCCTTCTAAGCTGATTTACGCTCCGCTTCGTTCACTGCTCAGTTCCTCTCCTTGTTTAATGGGGTTGCTGTTCAGTACTGAGGTTTATCAGTAAAAAGCCTGAAAACAGGATTTAAAAAAGCAGGAAGAGTGAAAAACAGTAGTAATGCGAAAACCAAATTGACGGGTTGAAAGACACTCAGAGGATAATTATGGTTTATTTAAACCTGGTGGATCCACCATGGGAAGCAAAGAAATCAGTGAATTTCCACCTCAGAATCACGTGATCTGTTTGGTCAATTACTTTCATACATATAACGAAGCTTTCCTTCATGCTATGAATATTTCTGCCTCTTTCAGATTAGAGGTGCATTGAAATTTGGCACTTCTAAATGTTTTTTGGGGGTTTTGCACTAATTTTAAGCCTTCATAAATTAATAAATTCAAGAGACAGTCACATTAAATTATTGGGGCATGAAATCACAATAATGGGATTTCTAACAGATTTTAAAACATCGCTGCAAGAATTTAACGTCTATGGCACAGATGAACAGAAACAAGCTTCGGTACCTGTTCGCATTGTTTGAGCTCTGTTTTTAAAATAATTCACTGTTTGGCCTGATAGTTGATTCAAATGTAGTTCGTTTATATTTTTGTTTATTTACTGTAAATACTGACGGTGATTATAATATGTTACCAAGCTTGAAAGCCATCTCCACTCAGGATAACGTTCACATAAAAAACATTAACTGCTTCATTCGAGTCAATTAAAGGAGCAAAAAGAGCGCGTCGCTCATTAAAACACGACCTTCATTCAGTAAAGAGTCTCCCTGATGCCGCTATGATTAAAATAGATGGAGGCTTGTTGTGCTTCATTTCTGTGGCATCGAATTTGGTAGCTGCAGTTGAGAATTTTTAGATCGGGTTCAGTAACATCGGTGTCACTGACTCACAGCTATAAAGCTGTGAGTCACTCTCGTATTTACAGTTTTGATTAGGCACAAGTAAAAAAAAGCCAGTTTTCCTTCGACTTTTCACATATCTGGTAATCAACACATGTTGACAAGTCAAGATAGGGCGTTGTTGTATTTCTCAAATCTCCCTGTGTATGTCTCCAATCAGGATTTTGCTCGGTACACCACTGCAGTGGATTGAAATCAAACGTGCCGACTTTCAGCCTTAAGTCAAGTTGTTTTATAAAACTTTTTCATTTACTGTTTAGAAGACACGCCCTCTTTATACAAAGTCGCCCATTTTCAGAAGTAATTGGATAATTATTATTATTATTATTATAATTCCAGAGGCAGAATTATAAAGATGTTGCCGGTGGCACCTGTGCTATGAATTTGGATATCCTATGCTAGGTTATCACACTGACTTGATTTTCAGAAAACTTGACCTCTGACCTTGAGGTCGAGCTCACTGACATTCAAACTTGTTCGAGGTTTTTAGTTGCTGCACCTACAGTGTCAATTTGAAAGGAGTAAAACCTGTGATATTTATGTATTTTTAATCAGTAGTTTCAGCAGTCTGTAAATGTTAGCTAACTTAAGCCTAATATTAAGAAACAGCCTTGAGGAGTGGCTCTACAGTGTAGTGGTTTATAGATGTGCCTAACAAGCAGAAGGTTCCCAGTTCATCCCCGTGAGGAGAAACAAATCCGACATTGAGGGCTGCGTCAGGAAGAGTATCAGGCATTGCAAAAATCTGCTAAATCAAACATGTGGCGCTGCGTGCTGTGAATGAGCCGCTAATATTGGTGAGAGTACACACATTTAACATCTGCCTAATTTACACAGCTGTGAACCTTTCAATTCTTACTAATAACAACATATCAAACAATTATTGCTTCATCTTACTAAACAAAGCAGCAACTGACTGAAGCATGCCTCAGTGTTAGTGCCACCGATATTGATTTATTAGAAATACTTTAAAGAAAAAGAGTTTTCACACAACTCTGCTGTCCTGAGGCCCCGCCCCAGTATTTCAGTCAGCTCAGGTCGGGACTATGAGTGAACCATTGCAGACGCTCTGTTGTAGATTTGCTGCTGAGCTCGAGATCATCTTGAGATCATTGTCGTCTGTACAGATGACCTCACCTTTGAAACAGAGGAATTCATGGTGACACCAATAACTGTAAGGAGCCCGGGTGTTGGTGGAGCCCAAATCATCAGTCCACCAACACCGTGCTGACAGCTGGTGTGAGGCATTTGTGCTGATATGCATGTGTTTGTACATTATGGCCAAATATCTCCACTTTGGTCTCGTTTGTCCAGAGGACACTGCTCCAGAAGTCTTGTGACTTCATTAGATGTAACTTGGCAAACTTAAGTCACGCTGGTTCTTTTTACAGAAGAGTTTTTTTGTTTGTTTTTTCTGGAACCTTCATAAACAAACCACACTTGTTTAGCCTACTTCCAGTTGTACTGTCTTGAGCTAACTGAGGCCTGTAGAGTCTGAGGTGAAGCTCTTGGACCTTTTCTGGTTTCTCTGATGGTTGCACCGTCTGATCTTGAGGGAAATTTGCTGGGAAGATTTTAGCACTGTGTTAACACAAACACACGTGAGCGCTCCAGACCTGCAAACTGTCTAAAGCTCTGCTTTTACTGAGGTGCTCACATTTACATCTTAATCCTCTGAGTTCCAGTAGAAACAGTATGGGTGTGCTTGGGGTTTCTGCAGGACTGCAGAATCCTTTACTAGCCATGTCAATCTGCACTTCAAACTGTTAACAGGAAACAGGAAGTCAGCCTGTTCCAACTTTCTTTTTTAAACAATAGAAGGCCCCAGGCTGGCAAACTGCCAATTGTAAAATAATCTGCCACATCAGCCAAATTCATGGATAGCTCAGCACTCCAAGTGTCATGTTTAATTATCCAATCTTTGACCCTTCACTTACTTTATGTTAGTCAGTCGGGCCTTCTGTAAAAAATGTTAAGCACCCTTTAATTACAGGAAAGTGAGCTGAATTAAACATGTCTCAGAGGAAAGTACTTAACCACCATTTTAATCCAAATCTTATTTTTTGCTCCCAAAAATCGTGATCTTACTGACAGAAACCCCTTAAAAAGGACAATTTGTGTAAAACATAGTCTGTTAGTAGGAGTTACAAAAGTAAAATGCATTTGGTTTGTATCAAAGAAATTGAGGCAGACTTTGTTGGAGATTTTCTTGCATGTAAAATATTCTGGGGACACATCAGAGAGGTTAAATCACCAATGATATAAATCTGTTTGACCATTTGTAAGATTTTTAAACAGGGTTTCATTCACATAAGCATAAAATACTTGTTTTTGTTTTTCATGGTTATGTATATTATTTCTTCCCAGAAATAAGAGGAAAATGACTGCTGCTAAATAAGGTAAAACGCTGCTTTAACTACATGCACACCAATCATGCTTCACTCCCCAAGCTCGCTTTTCTGAGCCAGAAAAATCCCTCCTCACAGCTGGCCACAGGCATGCCTCTAGTTAGCTTTAATCATGCCCAACGTGGTCTGGGGATAGCGTCACTCTCTCTGGAAACAAGGCTAGTCATGATGCCACACATTTCATTAATTGTAATGAAAAGTGGCTCCACTGCAGAGTCTGTCGTCATGTAGTAGCCCTGTGATGTTCACGGCGACTAATCTAAACGAGAAGAAAGGAACGCAATCAGACGGCAGCCTCGGTGACAGAGGCAACGGGTTAAAAAAAAGTCTCTTTTTTCAAGGTTTTTCATCTCTTCTAGTTACGGCTGCTGCAGAAAGAAAACGAACGACCTTCCCTACAGTCCACACATGAATAGATTCCTTCATCTGAGCAAGCACTGCAGTAGGTAAAAGTGGAATATAAATGAGCAAAAAGCTGAAAATGTGTCTGAGGTTTAAATGAATTCATCCTGTGAGATTATTTCTTTCCCTTGTTTGCATATTTCCAGGCACTAGTTTCTAGTACATCTGGCAGTGTTCCCACACACGTCTCAGAAACAAAACGGGCACAAAGTAGTGACGGAGTCGTTAGAAAGTTGGAAAATGGAAAGTTTTGCGTTAGTTACCAGGAAAAATAAAACAGGAATAGCTTTTTTCTTTTTTGTCTGATCTGGAAATGGCCGGCTCCTCAGTGTTTTTCTGTTAAGCTGCCGAGTTTGTCGAATCTTCCTTCCAGCATGCGAGTACAAAATAAAACTCCAATCTGCACATTGCAGCTTGTGCTCTTACGTAAGCCAGAGAAAACAAAAAATCCTGCTTCTGAGAGTGTACTCCTGGGAAGATTTCCACTGGTGTTAAATGTGAACTGGAAGAACAAAAACGGGAGGTTTCAACTGGGATTTGACTGGATTGCTGCCCTTATTTCAAAATTTGCAAGAGCCAATACAAATTTGGTTTGTAGAGAGATACAATACATTTCATAGTGCAAATTTATTCATTAAACATCATCTAAATGTCTCTGAAGACACAGACGGCCTCAGTGGAGACAGTACAGATCATTTCATATTTACATGTATTTATTTTATAGGCCTTCACTTATTTTCCAAGCAGGGAGCAGAGGGAAAAGGCTTCATCTCCCCTGTAGAATAAACATATTCTCATCTCTGTGTCCCGTGTTTTTCTCACTGCCTGTGCTTTGACACACTGGCCACGTGTGTCCAAAACGGGGTCATTAAAGTCCAGTTTAAAAGTCACAGGTTTACCTGACAGGAGGTCGTGGTTGTGGTTAAATAGTCAGTTATGATCAGGAGGGTCTGAGTCATGTGATCTGTAAGTATCTATGTGGTGACCATAAAAAGAGCTAATCTTATTCTCTAAATACTAAGGAAAGTTGCACTAATGCTTCTTTCATTTCTCCCTTTAGCACATGCGCTGGG